CTTACTGAGTCACAAGAATGAGAGAAATCAGTCATTGACTTTGACGCTATTTCCAAGATGAGTGTTTTTGGTGGCCACAAGTGGGTTCCAAATAAAGCAGTTGGAATTAAAGAAATCCAGAGTGAAAATAACATCGACAAGATTGAAAGCTTAGAAAAATAAATGGTGCTAATGATTTAAAAGATTTGAATGATGTAAAATATTTGAGCTTTTTTCCCCTAATGCCTTAACTTTGTTACACATTTTAGATATATAAACTCACTCTTCTACAAATGTATGATGCCACCACCGAAGCCCAACGTACTACTGGGCTCTTCTAGCCTTTACTCTTGACAGCCAACTACTTTCCCTCAGGTAACTTGAGTTTAGAGCAAAATTTTCAGCAGAAAAGGAAGAACAAATATCTTTCACAGAAAGAGTTAGAGAGGTAGCGACAATCCTATCTGCCAATCCATTGATCTGTAGTTAGAAGTAGAAATAGAACCCAGGCCACCATGACGGGTGATAAAAGTTCACAGTATAGACACTTGCACAAAGGTCTTTATACTCTCTAATGGAGGGGATTGGCAATCACATAGTCAAAAATACTTATTGAAATAATGTCCAAACATTAGTATTTTAAAAACCCTGAAAATGGAAACTTGGATGGAGAAATAGTTGAAGGTTGAACACAGGGGCCAATACACTGAAAACCTGTCAAGGCTATAATGAGAGGCACATACCAGGATTAAGATAAAGAAAAGAGGAGAAACTCTACTTCTAAACCCCAAAATATCAATATTTTAAAATAAATATTAATCAAATAATTATATTTATTCACATATATATTGGCAGAAGTACACATAATTTTCAGAAAATCATTACCAAGGTTTTGCAAAAAATCATACCTGTGTGTGTGTGTAAAATTCTTACATACACAAACAATAATGAAATAAAATTTGTCCTTATGCTAATAAGGGAGTTTTATTGGGGAACAGTCATGAACTCTCACAAGGGGACTATGGAAGCAGCAACAGTTCCAAAATGCAGAAATTCTGACAGAACTCCAGGTTCTCTGATGATATTCTGTGGAGAGGAATCAGTCCTGCTTTCTTCAAAATGACTTCTCTAATGGTGTATGACATTGGCATTCTTGGCAGTTAATGAAGTTAACAATAAGTTTGACTCTGAAGACAGGAAGAAGAGAAAAAATAAGCCCACCAATGGGAGTGATAGAAAGGTTCTAATGTTTCAGTGATGACAGGCTTTCAGTGAAATCTGATGAACCGGCATCTTCTATGGAAACAGAGACAGTAGCTCTCCTAGCGAATCCCACATCCCCAGTACAGCCCTAACCCTCATCACAGCCACATTACAGCCTTCTAAAACCATGAAGAGTGTGGCAAAGGCCTCCAGAATAATGGACATGGAATCTCACTGGTCATAAGATCCTGTAATTACATTTATTTTTGGTCTATTTTCCACAAGGACTGTGAACGTTTGTAAATACATCTCTGTGTGCCTCTGGGGTTCTTAGGAAATCTGAAGCTATTCTTATCATCACATTTAAACCAAACCTACTCTTTTTGTACATTTGCTGGTGCTGTAACTTGATGGTACAAGGTTTTTTTTTTTTCCATTGCTCATTTTACCATTGGTAATGGTCCAGAGTGAAGTAACTACACCCTCTTGTCTTTGAGTGTCCTCCTTTACCACCATCGTTTAGTCAATTAGAAAAGAATGAGAATTTGGCCCTTCCTGGTGGTGCAGCGGGTTAAAGCACAGCACTAAGAAGCTTAAGCCACTTCCACATGAGTTCGATCCCCACACGCCCCTGAGGTGACCACATGGCGTGGCAGACCTCTCCTGACCCGCCCGCTGCTCCCCTCAGCAGTGTACTTCACTGATCTGTCTGTTCTGTACCCCACTCTGTCTCTGGTGAATCCTCTCACCCTCCACATCTCAGGCCTGTACCCCAGTTCTGTATGAATAAATAAATCTTTTAAAAAAAAAGAGAGAGAGAAAAAAGAATGAGAATTTGGACCCATTTTTACAACCCCATTATAACATAGGGAGCACAGATTGTAGGGATCCCCTGCTGTGAGTGTGGTTCCCAACAGCATCACTGTATCATACTAAGGCACATCAAGCTTTGAGCAGTTCATCAAAATGTGTGATGTTCAGAATTTCAGAATGGTCATTTATTTCCCCTCTAATTTTAGTCTAACTTTTTACATCTCTGAACTAAAATCAGCAGTCGCAAGTATGAGATAGATTAAATGACTTCCACAGTTAGCATGAACAAATAATGAACATTAGAATTAACCATTTTATTATGACTTATAAATATATGGATTTTATACATGGGTAGATATGTGAAAATAGCATTGCAATAAGGATATAGACAGGCCCACCCTCCCTTAACTGTAACTTTATAATGGCATTTGCTTCCAAGCCACAATCCTTGTCACCTGTGAATCTGTTTATTACTAGTTTGACTTTTTGGAAATATCATATAACTGGAGTCACTGGCGCCTCTCAGATTCATGTCTTTGATATTTATGCAATTTATTGGGGTTTTTTTCTTTTAATTTGAGTGGAATGCATTGTACATATGTGGCTCAATTTATCTATTCATCCTTTGAAGGATGTAGAGGTTGTTCCAGTTTTGAGTTGCCATAAATGAAGCTAC